AATGAGCAGCAAAAGAACCCACCAACCTCACCTCCAGGTCCAGTGATGCAACAAGAAAGAGAGAAAATAGCAATTTCTTGAGAGCACTGCAAAGAAGCAGTGTCTTAGAGAGAGCAAGAAGGTAAAGAGAGATTTCAGTGAAGACTTGACGATATGGGGAATTATAACAGTTGACCTTAAATTCCAGAGGGCCAGTGAAATCATTTAAGAAGGAGAGGTAGAGTCGTAGGGGAAGTGGAGTCTAAGAATAAAGATGGCGGCACAGTCCTGGGCTTCAAGTGATGAGTGAGGTGATGAGAGTAGTCCTGGTGGTCCCAAGGCAGGCAAGGAGGAAAAGAAGATAAATGTTGGCAGGGAGATGGCAGAGGAGGGGGGGGGGTGTTTGGAAACCTAAAGAACATAAAGTACTCTTTTTGCTTCTACTGATGGAGACCTCCAAGCAGAGGGTCCTACTCTTTTGACGACCTAACCCACTCCTGTCCAATAGAATTTTCTGTGATGATGGAAATGTTCTATATGCTCACTATCCAATATGGTAGCCACAAGCCATAGGTACCATATTGGAGGGCACAGACCTAACCCCATCAATATCCTGACCTTTTGACCATTCTTCTCACAACTAACAGGAAACCTGCTCCTTATCTGGCCACCAAAGAAAATCTTCTTCAAATTAGAAAGCATAGAGTGAACCATGTAAAACAGATTAGAAGCCCAAGGGACCTAGCAGCTTTTCCCTTTGAATAAATTGAAATCTATAGTTCCGGAGAAAATATTAGACGAGATAATTAGAAGTGTACACAGATTATCATAAAGCTCAAGCTTAACGAAGTTCTAGAACAGATTACTACAGAGCTGGTTTCTGATACCTACCAAAGGATGTTCATCGGAAGCCAGCACTGGCTATGAAAATGTCATAGAACCTCTCGAGGAACCATTTTACAATCAAGCAGTAAACATTCTCTGCTGATGCTGAGAGCACACTTTCTCCCAAAACATTCACCTCTGTTCCAGAAACAGCCTGAAATCCAAGGGAGTGACAAGACAGGAAGGGTGACTTGCACCTGGGGAACCAGCAGTAGAGCAGCATATAAATTAGGTACCTCCACCCAGTAAGAAAAGAATCGAAGCACATCAAAACAGATTAGGAATAATTAAGTTGGAAACATCAAATGGAATGATTTCCATTCCCATTACAACATATATGGGACACCAGAGAGAGAAAGGCAAAAATAAAACCAATTATTTCAAATGCTTCATTGAAAGAGAGAATAACATTGTTTTTCCCTCCTTTCCCAGTGGGTTTTATTACTGTCCTGGCCATGGCCACTGCAGCACTACCTCTAGGATGCTCACTGTCCTAGATGCTGGATCTAAGTAGTACTCTTTAGCAAATAAAGAGAATAAAGACAGAGAAAGAACGAGGGATAAAAATTTTGAGATCTCCGACCAATGAGTCACACAGAAAGAAGACGGATTTTCTTTTCTAATCCTTTAAGAAAACATATATTTTTTTCCCTCGTCTCCAGGGAACCTTGGCCATCTGAGGATGGCATGTGTGTTGTATCACCTGTCTTCTTTCAAATGCAATGTCTCCCTTTGTAAAGATCTGGTGACCGCTGCTTGCCGGGGTTAACACAGCATCGCCACCAGTGACCCTCAGGAGGACACGGCTTAATGAGTCAATAAGGGCTAACCTTCAGAAGCTATTAAATCCCAGAGAGGTGAAGCCAAGAAACATCTGTCTCCTCAGCTTGACAGTGGTGTCATATATAGGACATGTTTTCCTGGCTCTGGGAGTTACCCATGCAGCTAATAAGCTGAATTCTAGTGAAAGGTAAATCTGAAGGCCACTAATAGAAAGCACTCTCTTTCTGTCATTCAGTCACAGTGTTATACCCTTGACCAGAAAAAAGCAAGTATTCTCAAAAAGGTACCAATTATAATTTTCAGTTAGAAATAAGCGGTGCTTTGTGGGCAGTTCCTTTTTGAAATTTCTCTTAGCATAATTAAAATCATGGTCACCATTTATGGGCTAGAAGCCATAATAAGCATTTTAGATGCCTTTTCTCCTATAATCCTCAAACCATCGTTTATTCTTGACACCATTTAAATGATGAACAAACAGACTCAGCCCAAGGTTTCAGCTGCGACTTTACCCAAAGGGATAAATGGTGGAGCCAGGGCAGTCTCACCCCAGAAGCCCTCAATCATTATTATGATATCAGATAAGTGATGTCCAAGGTAAAGGCAACAATCAGCCACCACATTCTGAGCTGCAATCCTGCATTGCGCTGAATATTCTGTAATCTAATTTAATAAAAGTTATCCTGTGAGATCTTCAATTTTTGCGTATCAAATTAAAAAGAAAAAAAACTATTGTCTGACTTCCTGGTTTGACTCTCAGCTCGCACGGAGTCAGATTAGCTTTCCCCTTCCCAACATGCCAATTAATGATATTATTTGTTTTTATCAGTGGGCTAATCTGGTGCTCTACAGGAAGTCAGAATTGTTTTCAGTTGCTTCTTCAAACAATCTCTAGGCTTATTTCAAGATCATTGTCAATCAACTTTTTTAAAGTCTTCAAAAATAAAATAAGCTCCAGAAAACCAAAGATAGAAAAATATTATAACTATGATAATGAAATTTCAGCCTTTGTGATAACTGGTGAATATGATGGAGAAATGAAATAACATATAAAATAAATTACATTTAGTAAATGTTTACCATTTGTTTGGCACTGAGATAAACCTTTTACATAATTTATCTTGCTTATGCCTCACTTCAGCTCTGGTAGGTAGACACTTCTCCACTTTACCGTTGTTGAAACTCAGGTTCAGAGAGGTTCTATAAATCTCTCAACATTATTCTGCTAATAAGTGAAGACCTTGAAACTTAGATAGTGACTCAAGGCTCTGATTCACAAGAAGTATCAACTAGTCGAATCCAAAAGCCAAAGAGTGTTAATTATTAGGTGGATATTCATCTCAGAGCAAAATTTGTAGTGAAGTAAGTGCTGGAGTGTGCTATCTTTGCCTTTTTTTATTCAGTCTCATGCTTATCAAAATTACAGATGGCACAAATATCTCTAACTGGTAAATTCAAAATTATACCAGAGGGTGAGTAAGTTGAAGTTATTTAAAATAAATTCATATAAATAGCTGTGTGTTGGTTCACAGAGCCCATCATATAACTATTGGGTGGAAGAAACCTGGGTGGATAATGGCTCATTTAAAATTTTTTCTTTAAAAGCTAAAACTAGATGTAAAGCATCAAGGAGATTTATTTTATATGTGGTGTATTGAGACTAAATCTTTGTGCAGAGTTTTAAAAATGAGATTTCCAGACTGAGATTCTTCTCAAGCAAAGCAAACAGAATGGCAGAGACTGGGGAGATCTTGCCATATATATTGAATGATCTGAATCTGGAACGAGTCTGAAAAGGAAAAGATTTAGGAATATAACATATGCCATTAAAAATATAAAATAGAGATTTGACTTGCTTTTTGCAAAATCAGAATAAGAACCATCAATTGGAAATTATTTGGGTGGATTTACTGTAGTATCTGATAGGATAAGTAGTGAGATCTCTATGACTGGCCTAGCTCAACAAGTGACCGAATGAACAAATGAATAAAACATTAGAGCAGAAGCTTAATTATTGTCTCTCAAGGTACACTGTCCAAAGAATCCTGAATTTAGGTGAAAGTCTGGATTTTCTGGAAGTCCACAGTCTTCATCTGGCAGACTATCCAACTGCTAAGGGTCACTAATTCTAAGGATGTGGACTCTGAGAACCTCATATTCATGCTAGCATTCTTCTCTAAAGCATCTATCTCTTCCTAAGCCAGATGTTTTAGACCCTCACAAGCTCAGTATATCAGGAGAAGACTATTTCTTATAATTTCCTACCTCCCACAGTACTTACCTTAGTGCTGCATCAATCCTCAGCTGGGGATAGACCAAAGGCCAAGTCTTTCAAAAGCAAGGTCAAGAGGTCACAAAGAGGTGGAAGCTATAAAGTCTCTGCAGATTAAGGGGACACACTCCAAAAACAGACAGGGTCACAATGACCCTGGTTATCTACCGCCCAACTTCACCCAGAAGGAAAACTTGGCATTGGAAAGAAAGTACAGAGCAGCAAAGTGGGTGTCCCATGTCCCAGGCAATGTTCCAAATACATTACAAATGGTAAATCATTTAATTCTCCCATCAATTCTGCAGGGTCTTACACCCTTTCTACAGACTAGGAAACTAAAGCCAAGAGAGAACAGATAACTTTCCCAAGAGCACCTAGCGAGTAAGCACTAGAACCAAGCAATCCAAACCTGGGCTCCAAACCAAGCTATTTATTGTTTACTGAGTTATGAATTTGTACCTCTACTCTGTCTTCTTAAGGTGAAACTCCCTAGAGGCAGCTTCTGACATTGAGCACATAATATGAGATCACTAAATAATTATTGAATGCAATTAGTACTTTAAATCATCTGGAATTCGTTAATGGTGACCAGAGTATTCAGGACTGGAGATGTCCGGATACATCCTCATGCTGCAGTTTAACCCCTGGCATAAAATATGCTTGTCCTCCACATTCCATTTTATCTTGTGGTTTTTATTTTATTGTCCTATTATTGTTATTTAGCTTGGGATGCACAGTCATGTATTTGGGCTTAGGCAAACCAAGATAAATGTTGAGACCTAAAGTTCCAGCCCCCTGTGGGTACCTTACTTTCTGGGAGGAGAAAAAAAAAATCTTAATTTAACCTTAATCAATTGGTAACTTAGTAAAGAAAGTAACTTCCTTTACCAGAAAGGACAAAACTTCCTTAATAACTACTCAAGTCTCTCTTTGAAACCAGGTTTAACTTTCAAAATAGTGCATTGTTTGTGAGTTTAGTTGAAAGCCCTAAATTAAGAAAATCTCAGTTTTCAAAAGTTCAGAGTTGAGGATGCCTGAGAACTCCATCTGGAAGATCTAGGACCGGAAGCACCCACTCCTGTACCTTCGTCCAGCTGTGGTAGGGCCTGAGATTTGGCACAGCACAGTTACAACAGCCTCAGTAAAGCAGCCAACGGATATCCTGGGTGAGCGGGAGTAGACTTCACAGGAATTCACACAGCCCTGGACTTCATTTTCGGTCCAGCTGGCTCGCAGTTGCAACAAGGCAAATTCCACCAGATGAATGACCCTCAGCAGCTGTGGTAGCCTGAAGGCTCCATCATGTACAATTCATCAGGAAGGTGGCCAGTACTGAGCCAAATGCTTTCTGGGTGATGAATCAGCCCTGGCTCTCAAAAGAGAGGCATATCAACATGTATGATATGCCTCAACACGTCCCTCAACAGTCATCCCACTTCGCTTCACCATCTCACCAAGAATGCCCACTATTGGGCGGGTACTATTGTGGACACTGAGAATTCATCAGCGAACAAACCAGATAAAACCCCTGCTCTAATAGCAGTCACACTTTGAATTTATCCTAAAGAATGGAACCTATAAATCAGAAATATATTTCAGAAATTGGCATAGAGTATTGTTGAGCTTAAAAAATAGAGAGCCAGATATTTCTCCAGCCAAATGGGTTTATTTGGGAACAACAACAAATCATAATTCAGGACATGAGCTCTAAAGACGAACCACAGGCAAGTCTAGAGAAACAAAGGAGAAGAACACTCTTTTATAGACCTGAGAGTGGCTGATGCAAAGAAAGAGTCCATTGGAGGAAACTGAAAGTTCGAAGTGTAGTGACTTTTCATTGGCTGAGTTATAGCAGTCTCTGATGGCCTTAGTTGTTACTGGGCAAAAAGGAATCTTTCCTTTTGCCTGCTGAGGTAGTAAGGCAATATCACTTCCTATCAGAGATGCAAGCTATGTCTCTTCCTATTGGGGTCAGTAGTGTGCATTGAGTGAGCCATGATTGAGAATTCTCACTTCTAGCTTCCCAACTCCATTTTAAATAAAGTATCTGTTTATTAATTTTTGCCATATTATTACAATAGCAAGATATCAGAAACAATCTAAATAACCAATGAGTAAGACTGGTTAAATAAGTTCTAGCACAGTCATTTGATGTTATACAAATAACCATTTAAAAATCATGTTATAGAAGATGATTTTAACATAAGATGCATATATAAAAATGCATAGCTATTTATTTTATATAATAAATTATGTTATTGAATAATAATAAAGAAATGAATTGTTTCATATATGGTTATAAAATAAACTGGAAGGATCACACCAAAATAAACTGGAAGGATCACACCAAAAGGTTAACCATAATTATCTTTGGGTAGTAGGATTAGTCACTACTAATATTTATATTCTTCTTTGTATTTTTTTACAAAATTCTTCTTTGACCAAATTTTTACAATAAATACATGTCTAAGTCAGGGTCCAGCTAGGAAAACAGCCCATACCAAGTAGTTTGATATTAGGAATTTAATACAGAAACTAGCTGCAAAAGCTAGGTAAGAGATAAAAGGTACATAGGGAACAGTGAATCCAGCAATTGGCAGCATCAAGAAGCTGGTACCAAGAAGAGGGGAGAGAAAGGGAAGAGATGGTGTTACCAAAGCCAGGAGCCAGAGCCACTCCTTGGGATCTGTGGCTCCCAGTAAAGAAGACGTGGCCTCTTCTAGTGCAGCGCTTGAAGCAAAAAGAGAGGAGAGGAGAAGAGATATCCTGGTTCTTCTGCACTACACCCTTCAGTGCTTCACACAGGCTGAGCCAAAGCCAGTTGGCAAGGAAGCCTCAGAAAGTAGTTTATAGAGGAAGCTACTTGCAATCGACCAAGTCCAAGGGGAAGGTAGGCACTGGATCTGAGAGTGAACACATAAGTTCCGCAGAGATGCCAGCCTGCTCCTGATTTTACAGATGCAATCAAAGTCCCAAATTGGTTGACTCCGACTTAATCAAAAAAGAGATTTTTTTTTTCTTGGGTGGACCTGACCTACTTAGGTGAACCTTTAAAATGTACTGGGCTCTTCCAAAAGGAAGCTGGCTTTTACACCTTTCTCATCTTGATTCAAAAGATGGCTTTTAAGAAAGTTGCCAAGGATGAGAGGGCCATGTGGCTAGAACCTGAAATTAGCCTCTATAAGCTTAGCAAGAAAGTTAACGCCTGTTTCACAACTACGAGGAACTGAATTCAGCCAAACTCTGAATGATCTTGGAAGAGGAGCCCAAGTTCCAGATGAGAACACAGCCTAGCTGACACTTTGATATCAGCCTTATGACAGTTTGAACAGAAAATTCAGCTAGCTTATACCCAGACCTTAGACCCAGAGAAAATGTAAGATAATAAGCTTGTGTTGCTTTAAGCCACAAAATCTGTGGTAATTTGTTAACACAGCAATAGAAAACTAATACTCTATGCATACCTTCTACTCCCAAGCATTGTGGAGTGCAGGTTGGCTATTGAAATTCCAACATTTGGCATGCCAGGTAATAGAAGAGAGGAGAAGAAAGGCAGAAAAAGGAGCCCTTCCCAATCAGTAAACTACTTTAAAGTAGCATTCTTGTAAGTACCAGGATTTTACTTAACTCTCCTAAACCAGACATGTGGCTATACCTCCTGCCAAGGAGGCTGGGAAACATACTTGTTTAGTGAGTAACTTTGTCACCTCCAATAATATAAGAAAGATACACTGGCCACCACTGGTGGAGGCACTGACCCTCTGAGATGTTAGTGACTTACTCATTCAAGTCTTCATGCCTTCTCTTCACCAGAGCTACAATGGCCTGACCCTGACACATTGTGCCAGTCTTATAGGAGCCAGAGGCTTTAACCAACACCTGGTGTCCATCCTTCCGCCTACCCTACTGGCATCTTTTCCAATTGCCTTGCCTTTTTTTCCTCTCCTATGACCCAAAGCACAAGTGCTGATCACACCAGACCCACTTACACTATTTCACATCATTCTTAGAGGGGAGAGCATCACTTTACTACTTTATGACAGGAATTTTTTACTGATCAGAGGTAAAAGAGGCCAAGGGGGTAGAATGAACACTGTAGAAAAGGATGTATCTTAAAGCTACTGAATCTAAGAGATGGACCTGATATCAAAGAAAAGAATGGGAAGAGATTTTAGAAATGTCATGGAGATAAAAGTCACCAGACTGGGCAACGATTGGACAATAGAGCATAAAGGAATAGAGCAGAAATGACCTTAAGACAAAATGAGCATAGGACAAAGGAGTTCTGCCAACAAAGACTAGGAAATTGGGTGCTAGAAAAGCCTGAGGGGGAAATCAGACATGCTCAGCAGGAGCCAAAGCCATTTCACCAGGCAGAGGCATTACAGATGGAGCTACAAATGATACAATGATAGGGAGATTAGGGGTAAAAGGGTAGATCTGGGAGTTGTTCACATATAGAAACATGAACTATGTCTGGGGTGCACTAAATACTAATTGCTTGATCACTCCATGAGGTGAAACATTTTGCAGATGAAAATGGATTATCATTGTTCTATCTTTGCAATTACAGAATATCATTTCTCTCACCACTAATGAGAACTCCGGGTGAGTCTCCACAAGATTTGGTACATTTCCTGGTCTTTGGTGATCTTGTAACACCAGGTCCTCCCTTAACTCCAGGCATTTCCTTCAGAAAGTAAATTCTTTTTGTATAAAAAAATTTGCCCTAGTAAATATGATAGAATAAAATGATATCACCGCCATGTGAATCTGGAGTGGCATACTAGAATTTTCAAAAATTAAATGATCCAATCATGTCTCCATGCCTTGTCTTCATAAAAAATTATTATAATTGAGTGTACACATCAATTGCTAGGCACTGGTAATAGAGAGGAATTGCAAAGACTAATAAAGTCAATACTTTTTAATAACCACATGACCATCTCCCTGCAACATAAGCATATTCCCCACAACAAAAGCAAAACCTAAGAGAGAGGTAGCCAATAGATATTTAGGAACACAGGTTCTAGAGTCTGAGAGCCTGGGTTTTCTCTCAGTCCCAGTGCTTAGTAACTTGGTCCATTATTTAACCTCTCTAAGCCTTGGTTCTTTTATTTATAAAAGAAGAGTAATAGTAATACCTGCTTCATAGAAGTATTGTGAGGATTAAATGAAAACATTTTTCAAGGCCTCAGCACAGTGCCTGGCTTAATAAATATTAGCTATTATTATTCAGAGAATTGCCTCAACTCTGTTTTCCTCCAAAGTGCTAATCTGTAATTCCAATCTGCTCACTTCCTTCCACCTAGCTCCACATGCCAAAGCAATATCCAACAACCCACATAAATTTCTGGAACCGGAAGGCATCTTATTAATTGTGTATCTAGCCAAGCCTGCACAACCAAGGATGTGTCAGACCCCTAGGCACTGGTATTGAAAAAGCATACGTAGTTGAAAACCACTAACCGACATGAAATTTTTCATTTTCCAGAAGAGCAAACTGAGGCTCAGAAAAGTGAAGAATCTTCTAGGGTCACAACACCATTTCCAGGGCCTACTTATTTATAGACCTGTCTCAGAATTGAGACTGAGAGCCAAAAGTCTTGACTCTGATTGCACAATTTTGGCATTACCTCAGGCTGCCTTATGGAATTCAACAAGCATTTCCTGAGAAACCACAGTAGGGGTCATAAAGGAGAATAAAATGGTGACCCTGCCAAGAATGGCATCAAAACCTAATCAGGGAAACAGGCATCGGTGCTAAGAATGCTAAGAGAAGTGCCAACATGGTGTTAAGATGTTTTAAGTGTTGCCTCTAACTCATGCAACTTTCATGAAGGAAGTAAATTTCTACTAGACTGTGAAAGCTAGGTAATGAAGTGAGGCATTCTTGGTAGAATAAATTCTGTGAGAAAAGGCCCAGAGGTATAGAGACAGTCAGACAGAGAGAGACAGACAGAGACAGAAAGACAGAGCGCTCACAATCTTCCTGAACAGATAAGGTGAACTATAATGTTGAACATTAGGGTTCAGGAAAAGCCAATTGTCCAAAGTATAGTATAAAGCTGCAAAGAGGAGAAAATACGCCCTCTATTCTCTTTTCAAAATATCCACAGAGTGACTGCCCACCACTGGTTCTAAAAGATGAGATGATAGAGAGAATGGCACCAAAAACAATGCATGTGGGTTCGCATTCTGAAGACATTCACGGGAATGAAGAGGCTCACTTCTCATTCCTTAGAAAAGTGGAAACAAGAGTACAGCCAACTCCTCTGTTCAAAGCTAGGGAGATAATATCGGGGGTGATTATGACAGTTATCATTTATATTTGATCTTACATAAGAAAAATAAGAAGGCCAATATTTTTACATTTCTGTCCTACCCTGGAGTTCGAATAAGCAATAACTACAGCTTTCCATCACAATATAAACCTGTTGAAATAAGAGAAATAAACATAGTTTCAATTTTCTTTACAGCCTCTTAAAATACTAAGAATAGATTTGGAGTAGATAAACCCTACCATTTTGTACTGGTTAGCTATTGC